TAAGAATGTGTATCGACTATCGAACCTTGAATAAGGTAACCGTGAAGAACAAGTATCCCATCCCCTTAGTAGCCGATCTCTTCGATCTACTCACAAATGCTCGTTGGTTCACAAAGTTAGATCTACGGTTGGGGTATTGGCAAGTTCGCATTGCAGTAGGAGACGAGCCAAAGACAACATGTGTGACCAGGTATGGATCATTCGAGTTCTTGGTCATGCCCTTTGGACTCACAAATGCACCAGCCACATTTTGCACCCTCATGAACAAAATCTTCCACCCGTTCTTAGATAAGTTCGTAGTAGTGTATCTGGACGACATCGTAGTCTACTCAGAAACGTTGGAGGAACACGTGGAACATCTAAGATTGGTTTTTCAGTCATTAAAGGAAAACCAATTGTATGTGAAGATGGAGAAATGCTCTTTTGCCCAACCCGATGTAACATTCCTTGGGCACAAGATTAAGGACAGGAAGATCTACATGGATGAAAGCAAAATAAAAACAAATTCTGAGTGGGAACCACCTAAGAACGTGTCCGAACTACGATCGTTCCTAGGTCTGGTTAATTATTATTGAAGATTCATATCAGAATACTCGGCAAGGTCAGCTCCACTAACTGATCTACTTAAAAAGAAGGTCGCATGGGAATGGACGGACAAGTGTCAAGAAACGTTTGAGGAGCTAAAGAAGGCCGTCACGAAAGAACCAATTCTAGCATTACCCGATTACTCGAAGCCGTTCCAGGTACAAACTGATGCCTCAGACTTTTTCTATAGGCGGTGTTTTGTTGCAAGAAGATCACCCGGTGGCTTATGAAAGTCGGAAACTTAATGAGACCGAACGAAGGTATCCGATACATGATAAGGAGATGACAGCGATTATACATTGCCTTCAAGTATGGAGACATTATTTACTCTGGAATCGGTTTGTGATTCAAACTAACAATGTCGCTACAAGCTACTTTCAAAATCAGAAAAAGCTAAGTCCCAAGCAAGCCCGTTGGCAAGATTTTTTTGGCTGAGTTTGATTATGTCATGGAGTATAATCCAGGGAAGGCAAATGTCATCGCCGATGCTCTAAGCCGGAAAGCGGAATTGGCAACCATCTCCCGGTTAACCTGATCCTTTACTAATCGCATCAAAGAAGGAATAAGCCATGACCCGTTAACAAAAAGCTTAATGGAGATGGCTAAAGAAGGGAAGACCCGAAAATTTTGGGTCGAAGATGGACTATTACTCACTGTCGGTAATCGAATGTATGTTCCGAAATGGGACAACTTAAGGAGAGAAGTATTAAAAGAATGCCACGATTGAAAATGGGCAGGGCATCCTGGAACACACCGAACCATGGAAAATGTAGAAAAGACTTACTACTGACCAAAGGATGAGGGACGATGTAGACGCCAATGTTCGGACATGTCTCGTATGCCAACAAGACAAGGTGGAACAGTCCAAGTCAGCAGGGTTGTTAGAACCGTTGCCGATTGCAGAGCACCCTTAGGAAAGTATAACTTTGGATTTCATCTCGACCTTACCTACATCTGAAGGTTGTGGTTCCATCATGGTGGTCGTAGACCGTTTCTCCAAATATGGGACGTTCATCCCCGCTCCCAGAGATTGCACAGTCGAGGAAGCTGGTCGGTTATTCTTCAAACATGTGGCAAAGTATTGGGGAATCCCTCGGAGCATCATAAGTGATAGAGACCCTCGGTATACTGGGAAATTTTGGAGGGAATTATTCAAGCTCATGGGCTCCGAGCTCCATTTTTCGACCAGTTTTCATCCGCAAACTGATGGACAAACCGAAAGGGTGAATCATTTGCTAGAGATTTATCTAAGGCACTTTGTTAGTTCCAATCAACGGGATTGGGCTAAGTTGATGTAGCCCAATTTTCATATAATCTACAACGGAGCGAGGCTACTGGAAGAAGCCCTTTTGAAATTATCATGGGTCAACAACCTTTGACACCACAAGAACTAACTAGGGGGTATAAAGGCACTAGCCCACCCGCATACAAGTTCGCTAAAGGGTGGAACGAGGAACTTGACATAGCAAGGTCTTACTTGAACAAAGCAGCCAAACACGTGAAGAAGTGGGCGGACAGAAACAGACAACCGCGTGAATTTATGGTTGGTGACGAGGTGATGGTGAAATTTCCCCAGAGAATGTTCAAGTCCACTCGACAAGTGCACAAGGGCTTAACAAGAAGATATGAAGGGTTGTATCAGGTGATCCAAAAGGTCGGGACTAGATCATATAAGGTCGACTTACCAACCCACTTAAAGGTCCACCCTGTATTCCATGTAAGTCTCCTTAAACCTTATAATCGAGATGAAGAAGACCCGTCTAGGAGTGAATCACAACGAGCTCCAGTTGCGAATGTGATCTCCTTTGATAAGGAAGTAGACGAAATTCTAGCCGATAGAGTAATTCGCAAAAGAGGATCACCCAACTGGACCGAGTACTATGTTCGATGGAAGGGACAACCCGATGCAGAATCTAGTTGGGAACAAGAACAAGACTTATGGCAGTTCAGAGACAAGATCGAAGCATACAAGTCCAAGGCTTAACGAGGATGTCAAGGATTTCAGTGGGGGAGGGTGTCACAAGACGGTGTTCCAGAATTTTCCGGACCGATCCAGAAGATGATGGAACTAGTAATCACAATCCTGAAGAACCTAGAACGTCCTAGAATTCTTTAGGACACTAAGGAATAGCATGGAACCTTATAGAACCTTGTATACAAATTAAGATGTTGTAAAAACGATCTAGAATACTCGAGAATGTACAGAACCTAGAAACTTCCCTTTGAGGAGGTGTAAGTATCCTATAAATAGGGGGGAGGACTCATTTGTCCAAACCATCGAGAAGTTCACTTGTAAGAAGTTGAGTTGTATACAAAGAAGCTTTCTTTCGTACTTTAAAGTGTTTTCTATTGTTCTCTTGCTTCCTTGAGTCGTTAGTACATCTAGAGTATCGAAGTTAGCCTGACTTAGTCAAGAAAATACTAAGTGGCGCACGGTGATTGAGTCATCCCGTGACACTCCGCCTTCCATAAGGAAAGTATCATTGTTCTTAACTTTTGCTAGATCAGATTTCCACAACCTTAACCAATTAATTACTAAAACTTTCTCTAACGATTAACCTATTTTAAATCCATCTAAACTGTTTACTGTTGTATAAAGTCCTCTACTCGGCATATTTACATTGCACCATTCAAAAGCAATGATGCACTTATTACACATATACGTATAAAAAAATGTTGACTATATTATATAGTAGTTATGAACTGATTATTAGATAGATGAAATCATATTGAGTTTTAATAAAAATAAATTAATTAGTAAATAAATAATAAATATATGAAATTTAAAAATAATTAGCTGAGAAGAATGAAACATTATTTAATGAGGGGTTAATTAATATATAAAAAACACTAAAGTATAACAATCATTTAATAAATAATATAATAAATAATATGTGGCCAATAGGAAAGGCAAAGTAAGTCATATGTTCCAATGGTAAACTGGTAATAATGTTTAAGTCATCTTTGACATCTCACAACTAGTTTATTTTTCCAGTTTTTTTAGGTTGTCATATATGTGTCAAAATAAAAAGTAGCTTATAAGCTAGCTTTTTTAAAAGCTACGGCGATTAGCATTTTCAATGAGTTTGTTCAGCTTTTCTAAAATTCTCCTAAATATACCATTTATTAATTAAACAAAAACTCAATCTTCTACGTGTCTTTTTGGTAGCTTATAACCTAGTTTGAGCAAATGTAGTTCTTTATCAGTTAGTTTTCAGTAATCCGTCAAACATAGCCTAAATTGGTTATTGTAAATAGTAATAAACTCTTATACTGTTATACATATGGACAAATGCAATTTAACTACTCCAGCTATGAAAATCCATAAGTTTCAATCATTATTCATCAATTTGAAGTGTCAATAAGACTATGGTTGAGTACGGCTTGTGCAGAAGTTGGAGATTGATCCATTTCAGTTTTATATGATTCTAATTTCTTAGATTACATGTTTCCTTTTTTTTTTTTTTTTTTTGAAAAGCAAGGTTCCATTTGCTTACCTTAGTTCCTTTTGATTATTTTTGCTTCATTTTAGGTCTTTTTAGGTTAAATTGTACATGTACCGATGTACAGTTCCATATATGATTACTTATGAAATTATATTAGATTAGTTTTTTTGTCCTGATTTTCTGCTTAATCCAACAGTACTTTAGTTGTTTACTTTGGTAATTGAGTCATAATTCATAACTAATATGATGATATGAAACAGATTATCTTCATAATATATAATGCGCAGAAAAAGTGATTCTACTTAGCTTTGCTATATTTTCTAGGGTTTTATTGATTTGGCATTTTGGTTTCATGTAAGGAAGTACTATTTTGTGTTAAGAGCATTCCTTTCTTCCACTGAATACACAAGCTTTATGATTATGGGTGAATTGTCAGTAAGATAAGTATTTAGCAACAGGATAATGAGTACACTTTCTTATCTTTTTTGTTATAGTTACTGGAACATTTAGATCAACGTGGGGTTGCCTTTAGTTTCCAAATTCTTGTTGGTTAAAATTAAATGTGTTGGGGTGATTTAGAATATTCTCCAAATCAATCAGCTAGCAAAAAATTTAGAAAGCAGTTAAGTCATGTATGTTGCTTTTCCAAAAATCTATATATTTTAGAAGGGTAGTGTGCTTGTATATACATGTATGCTTGTCACATGTTTATACCAAGGTCTCGGATATTTATTTTTGTTTTGCAAATGTAGGAGGGAATGACTAGAAACCAAAACCATGATGATGCATCTAGCGTGAAGAGGATCAAGAGTTGTGACCCTTGGTCAGATCCTAACCATGATGTGCTTTTCTTAGTTATGATGCAACTTGGAGTATTTGATTTTCTTGCATTCAGCAGAGTTTGTAAGTCATGGAGATCATTTGCACTGTCTAGCTAACTGGAGCAAGTTTATAGTATCCAGACCACCCATGTCCATATCAATCTCTACTTATATTAATAAGGATGGTCGCTATCTATATCTAGAGGACTTTGAAGGAAGAAAGTTCAAAATCAGCCTTCCCCATTTTGCTTATAGGGAGTGTATTGGAGTAAGTTGTGGTTACTTCATTCTGTTTGGTGGGAAAACTCGTGACTTCTGGCTTGTGAATCCTATCACAAGGCATGGACTTCATTTCCCTGATGTCCCTTTTGAAGTCTTTCGTGGTTATGCAGTTGTCAGGGTTATCCTCGTTCATTCACCTCCAATATCTGGGTGGGTGTTTCTTGTATTAAATAAAAAAACGAATGAAATATGGTTTTCTATAGCGAGTAAACGAGTATGGACTCTTGTCTCTGCATCTTTCCTCATCCATGATTTATATGCTTTCAAAGGGAAGATATATGTCCTAAACTCCGCTTATGGTTTATATGAAATGCTACTCTATCCAAACCCCAATTTGACTTTACTCAAAACCAAGGACTTTCCAGAGTTAGACGACTCCTCACTTCTAGAGTTTGCAAATTCCCCTGAAAACCTTTATGTGATTAATCGAAATTCACAACACCCATACAAGATTCATGAACTAGATTTTGGCAAAATGAAATGGGCGTCACTTGAAAAGAGAACAGAAGAATATGCATTATTTCTTGGCAACTGGAAACATCATGCTGTTGCAATACCAGAGTCGTGGGTTGGCATTAGCTCGCAATACAGGAGATTGAAATATGTCCGCACTAATAAAGGTGGAAAAAGTAAGCTCTATTATGCAAGCATGTGGTATTTCTTCCATGATTTTTTGGATGCTAATCTAATACATGAATGATTACTTGTTAGCATGCTTATCATCGTTTTTATGATGGATGTGTATCTTAGAACATTGTCAATGCAAGGCTTTTGAGAACAACCATTAGCGTATTATATTATTACACAGTTTGGATTGTGCTCTACTTTTTTTCTTTAGGTGGATGCAACTGTCACTTATATCTCATGGATTTTGTTCTAGCTTTTTTCTTTAGGTGGATGCCACTGTCACTTATATCTCATTTATTATTCTACTTATTTTTTTTTATGCCTAATGCACTATTTCTTTTATATTCTGTTTAATTTCTTTTTGTACCTAATGCACTGTGTACCTAATGCAATGTAGATGAACAACCTTTTTGTGGACTTTTGGAGTGAATTGAAAATGTTGTGAATATTTCCATAGTTATATGTTCGGACAATGGACGGAATCCGCTGAACATGCAAAAGTCCCATATTTTCCATAATGATTTTTCTTCACAACAACAATATGAGATATTGTGATTATCGTCTGAAACCATCATGGAAGAGCCCGTGGGATTTTGAGGCGTATCTGATAGCTTATCAGAAATAAATCGTTATTTGTGTAACAATACTTTTTACTTGGCCATATACAGTCTTGTTCATCAAACAAAAGCTAGCATACCCTCAAAAAGGATATCTATGTGATTGTAGATCATAGCTAAGCATGTACATTCACTTCTATGCACCCATGTGGAACAAACCACATTTGTTATCATACCATATAGCATAAATGGCGGATAGCATGTCATGGCCTTCTAACATAATCTATTTCAACAACGCTCACTAATGAATCAACTTTCTAACATGTAATAACGATCAAACCAAAGAGAATATATGATATATCAATATGACCAAGGGAAGGATTCTATCTCTGTCCATTCTCTCACCAACACGACATTCTCTTTCCGTCCATTCTCTCACCAAGAAGACATTCTTTTTTCGATCACTCTCTCACCAGGAGGATATTCTCTCTTCAACCATTTTGATCTAGTCTTCACATCCTAACACTCCAGATGGAAGGACTTGCATGCACTATTTTGATCAAGTCTCCCTATTAAAACGTCGTGATTTTTTAACATAAAATTTTCATTTATTTTAACATCTATTTAATGGAAAATGAAACGGAAGACTTTAGTTAATCAAATCAAACATTTTCAAAAGAAAAACCACAAGGTTAAGTTCTTTCAATAACAATCAAAATATTAAAACCTTTTAAATTTAGCAGAAATGAAATATAAAATAGGTAATAATCAAAACATGTCTAAGTGATATCCATTACTCAAATCTCATACTACCCAAAACAAAGTACCAATCCCATCAACCCAAGCTCCTAGACTACTTGTACCGATCATATGGCACAAAGTTAAAGAAACAATTGTCGGTCCATACCTCCTGATGAGTGAGTCAATACGAATTGTACACAGTCAAAGGAAAAACATTCAATTCCAGGTCAATCGTTCAGAATATGATAAAGCATACATGTAACAACCATATACTACTTATCAACTAATAGCATTAAATAATCATTCGACAACATTATCAACCACATTTACATATGTTCAACCGCATTTTATACCATATATATATATATATATATATATATATATATATATATATATATATATATATATATATATATATATATATATATATATATATATATATCAATCGCATGTATATTCATATATAATTTAATCAACCACATAATTTGGAATCAACCCTTTCTTAGATATTCGACATTTTTGTATTTAATTATCCTTTTTATATATGATCGACCTTTTATCATATAATCAACTTTTTAGTATTTAATCAACCTTTTGATATATGATTGAACTTTTATCATATAATCAACCTTTTATTATATATATCCAACCGTATGATAAACAAGTGTCTCTTAGTGTAACCTAACCCAAGGGAAACACCTCGTTCTCTACTTGTATGTTCATTCAGTCGAATGTTCTAAGTGGATTATGACTTCCACCCGAAATACCAACCCAAATGCTCCACTTTCGCTACTCTGACTTTATGAAATACAAGTACTTTGTGGTATTGTTCAGGAATCGGTACAAATGGTGCCAACACTACATTAACACCTCCTGATACCCTCGTGATGGTTGCACTGATCCATAACCAAAGGACAAACATCACTCCAATCCCCAAACACCGTATTGTACAGGTACTATATGTCACGAGGTCTTCTAGATAGACCAGGTGACTCACAACCTTTATGGCTTAAGCTCTTTTCCTATAATGTGATCTTTCAACCAAATAGACACTCGAATAACCCAGAGAGGGTTTTAGGAAAAGTACTATATTACCCAAACCAATTAACATACCCTGCAATGTCAACCATTAACCATGTAAAACATGCATCTCATATAAACGAAACGAGCATTCTAGCATGTGCATAATCAACAACAATCCATATAAGCATAGTCATTTATCGATCATATCAAGGAAACTATGCTAGAATGCCATCAACTAGATATTCAACACAATTAAATCAATATAATTGAGTCCAAAGGCATAACCCATAGAATACAAAACATATAAGTAAAGTATCACATATGAGCATAAACGATAGAAAGTATTATCCTAATGTGAATCAAATAACCATTCATAAAGTGTAGTTTCCGACTATGCATATATCTTAAGAAAACTATTAACTCACCTTTTACCTTGATGAATATCTCGTTCTACTTCAAGTCCCGAGCTCACTTGAAGTTGTCAAATCCTCCCCTATTAACACATATAAACTATATCACTAAGTGATTCCAATTTTATGACTCACACAACCATAACCATAATACTTGCATAAATTCATGTTTACTTATTAAGTTTTCAGAAATCCCTAACCTGGACCATTGTTCAGTGTTTGTAACATTCATAAAATTTCACAAAAATTTAAAACTTTTGAAACAATTCCACAAAACACCACGACTTACTAAATACTTTTCAAACATAATTATTATCAGAGTTTTTCCCAACGATCATAAAAAACATGAGGAGGTGCACGATCACGCCTTTTCCTTCTTGCGATCATCTAAGGTACCTGAAACATAACCCAAAAATGTAAGCCCAAAGCTTAGTGAGTTCCCCCAAAATACCAACACAATACAGATGCAGTACAATAATCATAAACAACATGCATAAAGAGCCTTCAGTCTGACTCGGACACCCCACCGGCCTATAGTCTATCTGGTACGCTCACAGAAACTTCAGCATGACTGGTACGCCCCATTGGGCCTTCAGCCTATCTGGAACGTTCTTCGGGCCTTCGGCCTGACTGGTACGCCCCACTGGCCTTCAGTCTATCCGGGACGCCCTGGGTCTGTTGACCTTCAGCATAAAGCAACACCGTCTCAACCCACCGACCATCACACATCAACATATGTCATATCAGACACTAGCTATCATGCACAAATAGTCATATAGATCAACATATCACTATACATAACATCATACAATAAATCAGGATTCAATCCAAAGGGTCGGCCTTGGTGCCTTAGACCCTATTAGTATAGTGAGGAAAACTCACCTCACATAGCTAAAAGACACGAATAACCTCTGGTGCTGGTCCTACAACTCCCGAACTATAAATTGACAAATAAAAACCAATTAACATTTGGGATCTACATTTTAGCCGTAAATCCCTATTTGGGTAAAAAGACCATTTTACCCCTAACCCAAGTTGTTTCATGACTAAAGTCCAATTTCACGATCTATTAGGTCCAAAAGTCCAATAATTCATCAAGGCCCATAATATGGCCCAATCTCCATTTGGGCCCCAATCCCTACTCATGGTCCTTAGCCCAAGGCCCAATGATATTTTTGGCCTAAACTCCCAAAATCAGATAGCCCAACTAAACCCTAGCCTTCTAAGCCCAAAAAGTGGCCCAAATCCAAGGCCCATCACCAAAAAGCCACCTGGCTGAGTACGCGAGGCGTACTCAGCTTGGACGTTGCGCGTACTGGCTCGAAGGCTTGTACGCCCAGCGTACTCTTCCAGATTAGCCATCTTCAATTTTAAGCTCTTAACCCATTAAGACTTTGCTCCAGGGTGTAAATCTGACCTTGAGCAGGATAGACACGTAAAGTTGCTAACTTTACGTTCATGCAAGGTTAAATGAGGCTCTTTATCCCAAAAAGGGCTTAGTACATGACTTAATGCTTGCATGGGACCCTTAACTTCATAAAGATGACACCTTTTATCTTAAAGAGGCCATGAACGACCTATTTCTGAAAGAATAGGTCTTGGAACGTCCTAATTCTATTATTCACTCAATCCATGGCTAAAATCATAACAAGTTAACCCAAAAGATATCTAAGCAACTAGTAATCAAGATAAGGACTTGATACCTCCAAATCCTTGCAAAGTAGGTAGTGGTTCTGGATCCAAAGCTTCCCTTCCAAACTTGGCAACTTCAAGATCTTCAACTCCTTCAAAATGCACAAATAACCATCAAACTCTCTTCAAATGCCCAAATACTTATTAATGGAGGCTATAATCTTGATTTTAGGGTTTTTGAGGCTTTAGAGGCTGATAAGGAGGCCATCCCTAATGAATAAGGTGGTTTATATAGGGTGCATGACCCTCCATTAGGGTTACATTAAAGTCCACGTACGCCGAGCGTACACATGTGTACGCCCAGCGTACGTGGCGTAGTTCCCGACTCGGCATCGACTCGGTATGCTAAGCGTACCAAGTGGTGTGCCCCACGTACCGGCTTCTCAGCTAGTACGCTAAGCGTACCAAGTGGTACGCCCCACATACTACATCAAGGGATTAAAAGAAAGACTTGCAAAAATGAAGGACCAAAAGTGAACATACCAAGACCGGGGTGTTACAATTCTCCCCCACTTGAACTAGACTTCGTCTTCGAAGTTTGATATCACGAACAAATCCGAATAATGCTCCCGCATATCCGCCTCCGGCTCCGAGGTCCACTCGGAGCCCTTCCGATGCTGTCATCGTACCTTTACCAAAGGTACTTCCTT